AGACATAGGAAAGAGAAAGAAAGAGCACAAGAGGCTTTGGTGATGGTTCACAGGTAACTTGGTGGTAGGAATTTTATGGGGACCACACCTGGAAGGAGAACTCAAACATTGTACAGAAGTGATCAACAATGTAGAATAGATATATGCGTGTGTGTGTATAATTAAAAAAAAATATTTCAAATAGCATCACTCCCCTCAGTGAGTTTCTGTTTCCAAGTTTACTTAAAATGACAAAAAAACACACCCACAACAAAGCAGCAATAAAACCCAGCTGCCTGTTGTTGGTGAGCCCTCGTTCTGGTGCTTTCTACAATTCTAGCCCTCTCAGGGACCCTCGACTGGTCAGAAGCATTGCTTCACATCCTTTCTTTTCTGCTTCTCCCTGCTATTCTTTTTGATTTCTAATCTCTAATCTCTCTTAGTTTAGCTCTACTAATTCCTAAACCATGAAGGCAGAAACAGTTCTTCATCCCTCTGAACACATTTGTACCTGACCAGAGTCAGCTCATGCCACTTCTGTGAGCTCTAGAGTTGAGCTTGTAGCATTGCTTCCTGGACCATGAGAATCTGGAGAGAGGGAGAAATATAGCAACCTGGCTGACTGTCGGATCTCTCACAGCAGTGAAAAAATGAAATCTCCTTTGCAAAGCTGTGAATTCTGCTGGTTAAAAAGTTGTGAAATGGCCTCTGTAGAAATAGGAGGCAGCTTAAAGAAGCAGCAACGTGCAAAATATTGTACCTATGAATATACTAAAAACATTGCATTTATTCAGAGTATCAGGTTGCTAGGTAGATTTTGTTCTTTGTTCTCTCTGGTCTGGCTCTTGTTTTTTCATGTTAAAATTGAGATTCATGGACAATGTTTTTATGGTAGTGAAATAAAGGATGGAGACTTGGAGTGGGCAAGAATATAGAACTGTCGTTTCTTATCCAAAGCAATTACCATGAGGATAAATAGCTTTCTTCTTACCACAGCAATTCCATAAATAACGGTCTGATTCTGGATGTCCCAGCAGAAGGAGTCTGCAGGGTAGTTGCCAATGATATATATTTCTGGCTGGAAGAAACTATTGTTTACAAACAAATTATCATGTAACAAGTCGGTTTTAGTTAGCTATCTGAGAGGGTAAAACAGCAGATTCAGAAAGGTAAAGTGTTTATCAGTATGTATATATTTTTACATCTCTGACGGCAAACAATATAGTTGGAGAGAATTGAAAAAAAAAAACCAGTTAGAAAAAAAACCAGTTTATTAAGTAATATCATATAAATAACTTGTTACAAAAATTGATTTGCAAAAGGCATATTTACTCTTTGTGAGAAATCACTTTTAAATTGCATTCTTTTTCAAATTTATATGTCTAAGAAAACAAAAGAAAATAAAAGAAGCCATTTCAAGGAGTGTGTATTTGCCATTTAACTACAACAAAAGACCCGGCCACGCTGAGCTATAAGGTAATCGTCTCAACATCATTCTTCTAGTACAGAAAACGTTCTCATGTAAACTGTGATTTTATGAAAAGCTCCCTAACTCAAAATGTTGATGAGAAGCGAGCAGTGATTTTTTTCCATCAGGTGATCTTGTTGCCAAAGACACGAGCAAAAGACACTGGGAAAAACTGGCACTGAGCATGCCAGCCAGTAAATCTTCAAGGGTGGCATCAGCTTCCCTTTATACGGGGGCATGTGTTTGATTACAAACAGTCAATACCAAAAAGCTTTTATTTTCTAGGTTTAAGACCACGCCTCACAGTGGGAGAACGCCAAGTTGCCTTAGCCTGGTATTACTGAAGATGCATATAACATTTATTATAAAGTCTATTCTTACGCAGTTTACTTTCAAAGCCATGGAAATCATACAACCAAAACGGTACAGAGGTTTTGAATTGTTTCTAGGTGTGTCTTCTGAGCACTTTCACTTTTACTACACAGCTTCCCCTGATCGCCTAGTAATTCTATATATTGAAGTCCTTAATGAACACTAAACTAGTAGATCATAGAAAACTAAAAGCTTATCAAAGGTGCCTCAATGCTGGTCCATGCCCTATTTGTCAAATTAACCCATTTGAGAAGAAATTTGAGTTTGTGGTCCATGGGTTTTTTTTTAAAAAAAAGAATTAAGCAACTTATAAAACCTCTTTAGAAATTAATCTAATAACTCACTGGCTCTCCAGCTAAGTGCCTTGGCCTTGTCTGAAAAACAGTGGGTAATAGGCTTTCTTTCCATTTGACCCCTTTCTGCACTTTCATCTGCTGGCTTTGTTGGGCTAACATTCCCCCAAAACTAAAAAATGAAAATGCATCGTAAATAAGTATTACAAAATGGGGAGTAGATTAAGGATTGTCTCAGCAATGCTTAAATTAAATTGATGATGCAGAGACCATAAACTTCTGGCTTTTAAATTGAACTATTTCTTCATTAACTTTTAACAAGTGTGAGCCAGTGTGTTTCCTTTCTGCACACTAACTATGGTTGGGGCCTATATTTTAAGTAGAGAATTACCCCTTTAGAAAATTGTCCCATAAAGATGTCAAGTGGAGATTAAAAATGCTGCGACTGTAATAGCCACTGAGCTTTTCGAGGGGACCATCCCGTAATTCTGTAGTTTTTAGAAAGCTGCTTGTCAGACCTTTGGAAACAGTTTATCTTCCAGAAGATCCATACCCTGCTCTTAATCTTTCTATCTTTATAATCTGATAAAGAAAGCTGGGCTTTGGTGTTAATGTAAGCACAGTAGTCTGCTTGGATTTTTAAGCCCCTGTCACAACTGAAAAATAAAATAAAAGAGATTTCATCTAGATAAAAGCAAAAAGAGGAAATGACACTATAATGCTCCTTTTCAGAGAATATCTTTCAAAACAGTGGGGATCATGATGTTTGAGAATGTGCTTTCAATGTAATTACAACCCTTCAGAAGTAGGGACTATGATAAAGTAACTGATTTGGTGCCTAGGGAAATTCATTTAATACTTGATTTAAATCTTGAGTTTGTGTCCCAAAGTCAACTCTCTTTTTCTTTTATGTGTATATATTTTAAGGTCCTCAAACAGAGAGATTCAAGGAACACCCAATCATCGTTTATATATTATGTCCAATGAAATCCTCATTTCAGGGCAAAGCATTTGATATAAGGTGTTGCTTGGCAAATAAGACATATAAAATGTATGTTCATAAAAAAATAAAAGGAATGGGAACATCCCAAAATTGAGTTGCAGCCATAAAATTGGGGTACTTCTAAGAGATTCAACTCTTATGAAATATTTGTACAACTTTTTGGGAACTAGAGATGAACGCCAAGTAACACATTTCTAGACTGAATTAAAATTGAATCACCAGGTTTTGTTCCATCTGAAAATGGAGTCGGTGTATACCCAAACCTCCCTCCATGCAGCTAAACCATAAAATTAAGAAAGCTCTGTAAAAAAATATATTTCCTGTGCCACGGTCTCCTCTCTCCTAGTTCTGTGGAACCATCTTAGCTTCTTCCCCAGGAGATTTAGTTTTTCTATTGGGCAACAGGTTTTTCCAGGCCTTTCAGCAGAAAGTGGCCCTTAAGGGAAAAAGGGGCTTTAAACTTAGAAATAGTAGCTTAATGTCTTCACAATTCAGCTTATTCTAAGGAACAACTTAGTTATTTAGAGAAATTCTACCCTTTAACTAGAGGGGTAAAATGTCAGAACGGCCCCAAAGTCCTTGAAGCAAGCCACAGAGGCAATCTGCTAATATTTAATGTATTTTCATATCTTTAGACTGAAGTACAAACTAAAGTTTACATTTTCTCACCTCCCATCCATCTTTCTCATCACTAATACTAACATCAGGACAGAGACAATGTGAAAACTGAGCTGAAATTCCTTTTTTTTCCCCACTGGTAATCATGCAATCATTTATGTTCTTGACCTGACTGCTTGGTGCAGAAGTGAGAACTGGGCAGAATGGTGGAGCTGTGTCTTTAACTGTTCCCATGATGTCAAGGAGTCTTAACTATAGGAAAATGTTACTCCACCTTGATACAGGAACCTCTTGTGAGTATTTAGTTCAGTATCAGATGATCTAATTTCTTAGAGGTCTACTTCATCAGGTTTTGTGGCAAGAGATTAAATAGTTATTTCAATATGTACTTACATTAGCCTGTATAAGCATGCTGTATCTATATCCTCTTCCGGGGCTAACAATTCCCTGCCAATTCCATCTCAAATATTCTACTACAGAATATTTCACTCAGGAGGGAGTAAACCTTAACCTTAACCTTTGGAACTTGCTAGTATCAGCCTTCAGACATGCCAATTAATACCTGAAGTTCAAAAGGAGGACTTCTGATGATACCTTTCTTTTTACAAAGTTATCTTCCTTGGTTTAATTTTTTATTTGATATGAAATCTAAGAAGGGAGCTCTTAAATTTTACAGTAAACCGTGGTTAAGTTGCTTTTCTATTGCTATAAAGAACTAGTTCTTATTAACTAAGCTACCTTTCTCAATACTTACCCGTGACTATGATGCCTATCGAGTTCATTACAGTGAAACGCTCTCCTGCTGTGTTCACATCCCTCTCAGTGCGCATGTGTGTTAATGACAAACTAGCAAAAGAAAACCCTAAAAGCAGGAAATAGTCCAAGCATGAAATACTTGTTAGTATACAGGGGAGTTCATTACAAAATAGGAAGCCATTAGGAAACACATGGAATAATATGATTGCAAAAGTTTTTTCACTCTAATTGGGTGGGTGACTTTTAACAGATTGTCCTCTTGTTTTAAAGGGACTTCTTGGGTAATACACCTACCTAATATTTAAATAAACATCAATATGTTTCCAAATAGAAAAATATGTGCTGATAGGACAATATCTCCAAGTGGATATGATGCTAAGATTATCTGTAGAAAATGAACAATAATTGAAAATAAATCCCTAAGACTAATCACTGAAGTCAGCATATTCTTAAGTACATATTATATATATATGTATATATATATATATATACACACACAGCCTGCTTTTAAAAAAGTTTTCAAAACAATGATGTTTACATTACAGTACTTTGGAAATTTCTGATGACTGCACAATGTAAGAGTCTAATGATAAAAATCATTAGAAGAGCTATAGGAAATACATGGTTTGAACCTGCTGAAAGGATTAATTCAGTTCAGTTGGGTCCTCTGGATAATAACGATGATGCTAATTACATAATTAGAGAAATAATAAATTAGATGGATTGTCTATTACTTTTCTGTCGGAGTTTGAGACCATTACTTTATCACTAATTCAAAGATAAGGATGGCAGGGTTGCCATGGAAACAAAGTGAAAAACAGTGAAAAATGTTAATGCTTTTCAAAGTCAGCTATCATTTTAATTACAATCTTACACACTCTGACTGAAGGGAATCCAAGTTTTTCCTAGGTCAGCGTATTCCAAACATATAATATCTATGTTTCCACTGTGATCTCCATGTCATCCGTGTCGATCACATTACATAAGTAGAAAGATGTTTTGGATGTGAAAGACAGGGTATCAGATTGAAGTAGCTGACTCTTAACCTCTCTATTAAATTCTGAGAACAGGGTCTGAGTTTTATTTAATCTACTTTTACTAATGCAAATTAACTGCATAGGAAGTATCTGGAGAATATGAATTGTTGTACTTTATATTGCTACTTTCAAGTATATTAGCATAATACCGACAACAACCACAGACAAAGAGTTAAAATTTGTCTCAAGAAAGTTGCTTCAAGAACTTTTAAGCAATTAGACTTAGTTGTAATTAGTCTACAGATGGTTGAAATTTCAAGCGATCCACAATACATTTGGTGGCCCAAGCTTTAACATATGCTAACTATATCCTTTGTCAATATTAACCATTCCCTTTCCCCCTTTCTATAGCACAAGGGCAAACTTTCACATGTCTGTTATCTGTTATGTAACAATCTATGTATTTGTGGCAAGGAATGAGAACTTAAGAAGTTTTTTGTTTGTTTGTTTTGGTTGTTGTTTTTTGACTGTTTCCTTTTAATTTACTTATGTCCCTCAAGAGGACCATTGGTGGATTTGCTGTTCAGAGTTGGGGCTAGAAAAGGTTCTTGAAGAACAAACAGGATGGGCAATTGTCATTTTAAATTCTTCTAAGCAGAAAGGGAGTCTGCAGGCCTAGATAGCTCATTAGCTCCTTGTGAGCTGATATGCCAGTTTCTCCTCCCTCCTCTCTTACTGAAATGACATTTTTATTCTTTAAAGCACGGTCCCTCTTCCCACTGGCATGCGCCATGGACAGACAGGGCAGTAGATGCCTCGCACCAATCGAATGTAGCAAAAAGACAAGGCTGGGGGAACTGAACACTCCTAGCCGCGTCCCAAGACAACCAGGGGAAGTGAGATTCCAGCCCGCCTCCAAGCAAGGTGCCTACTGGACCGACATCGTTAACTGGATGCACTAAAAAATAAACATTTGCCTCTTGGGAGCTCATAAAAGTGTACTAGAAAAAAAGTCTCTAACATTGGATCCACGAGGGCTGCAGCCATCGACTTTCAGAACGGGCAGAACAGAGAACCCTTCACGGAGGCGTGGATAAATAGCAGGAAACAGCCACTTCACATATTTCAGTGCTGCACTGGAAAATGAAAAAGGCAACATATTAGGAGTCCTTGTCACTGTCCGCCCCTCCGTACATATCCGCCAGCTTCTTGAAGCGCGGGCCCCAGTCACTAAGGTAATCATAGTCCTGGTCTCCATCCGTGGTCACCGACTCCAGCGAGCTCAGGGAATCGGCCACAGAGCCGGTGCCTTCATAAGCATACGTGGCCAGGGAGTCGTAGGGCGGGGCGGTGGGGTCCGTGTCATTTTCCTTAAGCCTTTGGGTGATGAAATCTCGGACGTCGGTGTTATCTCGAGCTGCAGGAGTCCGTCGGGGTAGAAAAAGGGCTTCGGGCACAATGTCCCTGCGCGATTTGTTGTCCTCTATGGCTTCGGGGTTCCTCAAGGTGCCGATGTCAAAGGCCTGGGTGTCCTCCTCCCCACCCCCTTCGTCGTTGTAACTGACAATGTTGTCTCTAATATCCTCTTTGGAAATGATCAAAGGTTCTTTTTTCCGCTGCCTTCTCAGCGCTGCAAACAACACCACTGTCACTGGAAGCAGAAACAAAACCGAAAACGGAAAGGAAAGTTAATTTGCCGCCCAATTAACGTCAGGAAGAAACACGAATGCTCCAAGGTGAAGGTTTTCAAAGTTCCCCAGGAAACTGCAGACTCAACTTTTATTTCTCTTTGAATCCACTTGCCTACCTGCTTGAGGAATTGAAAGCCCCCTCTCCTCGAATGCTGCCCCCCCCCCAAGAGTGAACGTTTGAAAGAAAATTTCAGAGGAGGATGAAACGCTGTCATAGCTCCTCAGTAGTTCCTTTTTGCTTTGAAATGGCAAACTAGTTTCTAAGTAAGGAAAAAATAAAACGATAATAAAAATAAGTTGAGCCCTGGCGAGATAGTGCCATACGAGTGCAAATTATGCTGAACACCTAAAATGCTCAGAAACTACTTATACGCACAAGGCTGGCACCTTTGGGGACGTGCGGAAGGGTTTGCATAACTCCACATTTAAAATAACTTTTGCATGATGCCTTCTTTTTTCTCTGAGAAAAGTATAAAATTAGTTTGAAACCCAAAGTAGAGATGCGAATGTTCCCATACCTTTGCTACCTATAAGGGAAGAGAACTGGAGGTAATATCCAGAGAGACCCAGATACCATTTGGAAAGCCGTTCTGAACCTCAACATCAGCCAATTTGAACGGACATGTATTAATCCACATGCAAGACTATTTCTGTTTGAGTTCAACAAAATGAGCACATTTAAAAGGGAATGTTTAAAAAAAAAGGAACTCTTTGCAAATTTCCATGTTGTGTGAACCTGTTGCCAGGAATGTTTGTTCTGCGTTGTCCCTCCTAACTTATAGACACTTCAAGAACTGTAGTCAACTAGCTCCTGATGTTTCTTTGGAACTGCCTGGGTGGAACACAGCTGGATACCAGTAGAGAAACATCTACAACTGGACATATGGGTGGAAAATAAAAACATAGGCACAGCTTAGAGAGAAAACAGTTATCCATATCCAGACCAGAAAATGCATTGTGAAGCTGGGTTTGTCTGGGGAGGTTATTAAATAAAATACCAATAATATCTCTTTATTCTGTCTTCCATAACACCGTCATATTTTCTGAGCCATGAAAATTGAATTTTCAAGTAGAATTACACAAAAATGGATTTGTTGGATAAGTATATTTGTCTATGAAATGATAGATCTATGCATATCCATATAGCTATATATTACCATTTCAGATGTTAATAGTATTAATAAAAATTGTTTATCTATTGAGAGAATTTTATGTGCCAGCAACTATAAGAAATGGTTTACATGCTGATGCTCATTTAATTATTATAATAGTCCTATAGCATTGTCATAATCATTACAATCCCATTTTACAGAAGAGAAAATAAAGTTTTAGAGCTGTCACATCAACAAGGGATTGAACTCCAAGTCACTCAGACTAGGAAGCCCTGTTACCATGCTGTGCAGCATGCTTGGGTTATCGATTATTTCTAAAGAAAATGCAATTCTGCCATTTGCAAGTATGTGGTTGTGAAATTATACATGTTGCTCTTGCTGCATAATAACAAATTGTTACCCCCTTTGTCCTGCTTATTCAGGAGTTTATTTACTCGTTCATGCAGTAATTATGTGTGGGGTGTCTACTCTGTGGAAGGTACCATTGAAGCGCCATTGATAAAAAACAACCAAGCTGGCCAAGAGCCTTGTCCAGGTAAGGTAGGCACAGTTGGTCACTGGTGGTGGTGGATGGAGGCCGAGAAGGACCGTGTATGGGGACATTATTAGCAAGTGGCAGATGTGCTGTGTACAGGAGAGAGTAGTATAAGGTAGATGGAGTGTACTTCTGTGCATTTTGAGGGGCTGTCTATGCTTTGCAGTGGGAGACTGCGTCACGGAGAAAGTGACGTTTGAGCAAAGACGGAAGAAGTTCCCCAAGAAGCCATCTGGCAGAGGGAGAAGCTGGAGGAAAGACTTTGGAGGTGACTGTGTGTTCAGAGCAGTTGAAAAACAGCTGAGGTCTCTAGAGAGGGCTGGAAGAGAGGCGTAGGGAAGGGCCAGGTCTTTCGGGCACAGATGCTCCTGTACATCTTCACCTTATCCTGGGAGGCAGGTGGGTGGAAACTTGCGGGACTTTGGGCAGGGGCACACTCATGAGCTCCCTTTGGTGCTGGTTGCAGTGTGGCTTATGCCATGCATTTGCATAACAGAGAGTTGTAAGTAGGCACAGCCTTTGGGAATTAGAAATAGACTCAAGCCACTATCTGTAGAAGAACTGAAATCTGAAGGACCGGGATTTCTTCCAGGGGGGTTCTTCCATCATTTAAGGCAAGCCAGGAGGTATTTATCACTTGCTAATCCCTCCCTAGTTTAAGTTACCTATATCTTTTATTTCAGTCCTATTTAGTCTTGACAGTACAATTGTGCAGAAGAGAGAGGCGCTGGAAGGCATCCAGTCACTGCTGATTCCCCGTCAGCTACAACTGCCTGTCTCTCTCTCGCTCTCTCTTTTTTATAAGCCCATGTACATCTGAACAAAATTCCTTAATAGTACAGAAGGGGCTATAGTCTGGATGGGAGCATTTTTCTCAAAGCTAACTTTATAAAACGAAAGTGTAACTTTATAAAGTTACAGCTTTGTAAAGGTATGAAGTTTATGAACACAGGGGGCAACAACATTATGAGAAAGCTGTGCACTGATGGGGTGCTCTCCCTAGGAACAGGGCCTCCACCTTTCCCTACCGCTCCAGGGCCAGAGCACAGCAGTGAGGTTTGTGGGAGATCGTGTGATGGAAGTTTGGACAAACTTGTGCTCAAATCCCATCATAAAAGCAGGTTGCAGGCATTTGAGGTCAGCACACTTGGGTTCAATGAAATGATTTGACTTTCCGAAGTGTCTCCCATTCTCTGCAAAAGACAAGTAATAACTCGGTGCCTATGGTTGTGCTAGTACATGTCAAAGTTTTGCAAATTCTAGTGGACCATAGAGGCAGGAAATGAGGGTTTTTGGGTTTTTTTTTGTAAATAATTATCATGCCACAGGATTTATTTTTTTTGGTCACTAGTTCCTTTGTATTAATTGATTTTTTTTTTTAAATTTCAAGCATTGTGTGGGGGTCAGGAGAATGAGCTCACCTCCTGAGAAGTGTATCCCCTTGAACCCCACCAGAGCGCCATATCCCTTTGTTTCCTCCTGTATGACGTGACTTCCCTTCTCTTACGAACTCTCAGGTTTGCCTCCACTGTCTCCAATTGTCTTATTATCAGGACAGGCTCTTTCAGAAGCAGAGTGCCATGCAGAAGCACAGGCCGGCAAGGGTGGAGAGTGTGGAAGTCAGTTCTGCCACCTGTCAGGGCTGTGACTTGGCTCCATGAATGCACACCTTGGAGTCTCAGTTTTCATATAAGATGCAGATAAAGACATACCAGGTGGCTCGGGGGGATTAAGTGAGAGAGGCACCGTGTGTAGCCCATGACGTGAGCCTGGTAAAGATTAAGCCCCACACTCCCCCTTTTTTATTGTGTATAGAATTCTGGAGAGACCAGACAAGATGTGGGAGGCACTGAGACAAACAAGGAGTGATGTCCAGACAGTGAATTCATTGCTGGAAGGAGACGGCAAAGAAAAATAAAGGGAGCTGGTCAGAAGGAAGAAAGGGGACAGGGAAAATGGGGAGATGAGGAGGGTAAGGAGAGACACCTCGGGGGATGAAGGGGGTTGGCTCACCCCCCACAGACCACAGAAGAGTTCATGGAATCCTACCTGGCTGTGGCCTGCCCAGCCAGTTCTTCTAAAAGTAATCTTTTTGATTAAAAAGAATATTCATATTCTGCTCTTCCAAAACAATTTTTACAGACTCACTGTTAGAAGCACTGATTTGTCTTTGCACACTGTCAGTTTTTATTTATCCTCAAATCTTAAAATACTTTCTCCAAAGCTTAGTTGACAAAGAGAATCACAGTTCTGTAGTTGAGTTTCAAGGTTTCTGCTGTAATTAGCAAGTTGATTTGGAATGTGCCGCCCTTGGGCAGAGACCAGGGCATCCTCTTCTATGGAAATGTAGGTCATTACTCTTCTGGAAGTCACTATATAGTTACTATTGTCAAATAATCCCCCCACCCCAGAAGTCCAGGTTAACTCCTTCCTTGTAGGTAATCTCTGTGACTTATTTTGCAAGAAGCACATTAGCCCACCTGTGATTCCTCTTTTGTAGTAGTTGAGGGATTGTTGAGTATTTGTGCTCCACTCTTGTGTCTAAGTGGCTGGGGATAAACATTTGCATTTGAATCATTGTTACACCTCGATTTCTACTTTTACTGCATTCATTTCTTCTAGATCCTAGATTTATTTCCTAGTCACAGAAGTTATTAATTATTGAGAGTCTGAGAAATAGTAGACCTTGTGTCCATGGCAATCAGAGAGCAAAGCTAAGCAGGTAATAATTTAAACAGGCAGACCAAAATAAGTGTTCTGGGTTGGAGAAAATTACATAGCTTTTTTACTTTCCTGTGTGTGTGAGAGAGGAAAAAATCACCAGTTCCTTTTTCTACTTTCCCACTGATCTTTGCCTTCACAGAAAGGGCCGTCATCACATGTTTCATGCTGAACACCTTTCACTCTTTAAAATTCAATGGAGTTTACCAGTATAAATATTAAACAACAAATGAAATGAAAAGGGCGTATTCATATTACTCTCAAACTCCCCCAACTTTCATTCCCAGTCTAACAGACAGGAGATTCTTTGGGTGGAATAATTTCCCAACTAGGCAAAGACATGGGCACGTTTCACATCTGTTCACTTTCCAAAGCCATTTTCAAGCAATAACGAGTTCATGGCCAGCAACACAGAGTGTCAGCATTTAACTATACTCACCTAGACCAGGCCGCCTGCCTGAATCGGGGAGGCGGATAAACCTAGTGTCACAGCGACGGTGTGTGCCGCCAGAGTGGGGAGATAGGGCGTGGGAGGAGCTGTTTACCTAGCAGGGTGACGATGCACAGGAGGATGGCGACCAGTGCCCCGGTGCTCAGCCCCGTGGGGTGGACGAGGGCCTCGGCGTGGCAGGACTGCATGTTCCCGTGGTGGTCACACGCACACACCCGGACGGTCACGGTCCCAGTGCTGCTTTGGACCGGATAGTCATTGTCTGAAATGACCACCGGCAGGAGGTAGGTGCTCATCTCGTGTCTGTTGTAGCCATTTTTCCGAGTTAAGATTCCTGCCGTATTGTCTGGAATGGGAAAGCAGGTGTATGAGAGTCTGTGTGTGTTGGGTCCACCGTGAAAGGGCTGACATGAAATAGATGTCAGGCCAGAGAGAGAAGGGAACTTGGGCTCAGTTACCTTTGTTGTCTTGAATGGTAAAGTTTGAACCACCAGCTGCTTCGGGGGCCAAAGAGAATGAGAATTGGTGCCCGCTGTAAGGGTCATCCTTGTCCACAGCCCGTAGGGTCTGAATCAGCTAAAATCAAAACCATAAAGACCAGTTAAGTTACAATGTATATGAGAGTTTTTCAGTAAATGCTTGACTACATAATTTCTAATTTTCGTTTAAAAGAAAAAAAGGAGCCTATAGAAAATGGGCAAAATGAATCTACCCTGCAGGGATCGGGAAGGTTGGAAAACCATAGAGGAAGGCTTAATCCTTTGTTGTGAGGTAGTCCTTTGCACTGTAAGATGTCTCTTCTCACTAGACATCATTGGTTCCCTGCTCTTTGTGACAGTCCAAAATGTTCTCCAACATTGCCAGATGTCTCTGGGGTCAAAGTCACCCAGGCTGAGAATCACTTCCCTAGAGCTCCTCACACAAAATGGCTTAGGAAAATGGAGTCATTTCTGAGTGTCCGGCTCCATTTTTTAAAAATAGTTTTATTTATTTATGCTTGCAAGAACTGGGGTACAGACCAGAGGTACAGAGGGTGAGAGGATTCACCAGACACAGAGTGGGCAGCAGAACAGGCAGATTAACTGAAATACACTGCTGAGGGGAGCAGTCTGGGAGACCAGAGAGGTCTGCTGTACCCTGTGGATCACTTCCCTGGCCTGGGATTGAACCCTTGCACCACCAGGGAGGACCCTGTCTGGTTTCTTTAGAAAAGCCATCATGGCATCTACATATGCCATCAACTTGCAAAAAAAAACATTTAAAAAGAGAATTTTTGTACAAAACACCTAGTATCAGTTTCCCACTTGAACATTTATTTTTGGACAAACAGTAATATAATTTTATCTCACTGGTAGAAAAGACCTACTTCAGGTGAAGACAAACGTCAAGCAGTTGTCAAAGTATTCATGAATTTGTATTATTTGTACAGGTGGACAGTTTAAATAAGTGAAAGTAGGAAATGTAGGCTATTGTAAATATGTTTCTAGTTATTACTCCCCAGTATATATTATAATTTGAACTGTCTGTTCGCCAAAAAAGGACTTTTCAATAGAGCTGTGACTAATCTATTTTAATGAAAACTTAAGACTGAGTTGGAGACAGCATCTGTCTTTGAGACTGATGAACTTCCAGTTCTTAGAGAGTGTTTGTTCTCTTATCCAAGTTAAACATTCATCCTGGTTCTTGTTTATTGTATTAACTTTGTTAACACTCACTTCATAGATAATTCAAAACTAGCCCTCAGCTCTGTGTCTCATGTGAATTACTAAACGATCTAGATTAATCTGACTAAATTAACTTACTTTCTCATGAAACTCACCTGATCTGCTTTAGCCTTTTCACAGACAAAGGTTTCATAGAATTCTGCAAATTCTGGGGCGTTGTCATTGACATCTAGAACTTTGATATATAGGGGTACCCGGCTGCTTTGCTTTGGATTGTCTGCAAAATGCCACAAGGAAAGGAAGATGTTTATATGTTTTGATCACTGATCTCTGTAGTCGATAGTCACTCACTCACCCCTTCTCATTCATAACAGATTCCTTGAGGCTTCTGGGAGTGCCACAGTGCATTATGTACTAATATGGTCAGAACAAAGTAGAATTAGTTTCTTTGGTACTTCTGGGCTCCAATATACCTGATGGAAATAAAGCTATTTGTGTTGATATAATGCAACTGTGTAATAAGCCCCAGAGTAACACAAAATAAAGAAAATCTATCCAGAAAAGGCATTTTGGAAGGACATTTTAAAAGAAGTCAGGAAGCCAGCAAATGGAAGAATGTGGAAAGGGAGAAAGAGCATGGAATGATGGTTGATGAATATTGGTCTTGGGTTTTAGTCTGAGCACTAAATAACAACTAGATATTGTACTAAGTGTTTTGCTCTATATTGTCTTACTTCTTCCTTACAAATATCCAAGATAGATAAAATTATCATCCCCATTTTTAGATGAGGAAAGACTGAGGCACAGAGAAATTGGGCAATTTGACTGTGTTCAAAGAAAGTGAGGAGAGGATGCTAGATTCAAACTTGGGTCTGTGATGCCAAAGCCCTGTTGTTCATCTGGGACAATGATAAAGGAGAATCAATGTTTAAAGACCTAAGATAAATAAAATATTTTGGTTGTCTTCTATGAAGTTCTCCTAGGTATGGAGGAAGATAGACACCTGGTCCAAGAATCAGAATAGGAATCTCTCCCCTTAACACTCTTCATTTACTTCACTCTATGTTTCCTTTTCCATTTATTTCATAAATATCTCCCCATTCCATGCATAAACCTCTAAACCTAATAAGCGTCAGTTGCTATTTGGGACATAGGGATACATGGGAACATAGCAAAGACCTTGCTTCCTGGTGTATTATTCTAATGAAGGAGGTAATGATGTGTCAGGAGCTAGGGGAAATTAACCAGGGTAAAGGGTGGAAAAGTGTTACTTTGAATGGGTATCTGGAGAAGGTGTCTCTGACAAAATGACATTTGCACAGAGACATGAACAAAGAAAAGGACTGGGTATTTCTGGCTCTCAGATACAGGCATTGGTAAGTGCGAAGGTCCTGGAGTGAAAGTGAGTTGGCTTTATACAAACTCTTGGCTTCTGTTACAACAAAGGTCGTGAAGGAGTTTGGGCAATAAGGTTCTTCAGCTCCTCTGCCTCTAAGATTTTGCACACTACTTTTCCAAAATTATCGCTGCTGGAGATGAAGTTTTTTTTTAAAGGTCATTATCACTAACACTTTTCAAACACATCACAGAAACATTAAATCTTAAAACCAGGGATTTTTAGGCATACAGCTTAATACATATGAAATAACTACTGCAGTAAATGTAAAATTTCATGATGTTATAAAAATGGCTTTTTTTCAGTGGGAGATAATTTTGTAATTGTAAAGCTTCAAGTATGCTCTGTTATTGCTGCACACTAGTGACTCCACATAAACAGAGAGCAAATTCCTGCCTTATAATTTGTAATGAGTTCTTATCAGAAAACAATGCTTCATTTTGGTCATATTGATTACTGATTATTCTACTCAATTTCTTTGAGCTATTTCACACCTTGCAACTGATGATAACCAAGAGTAGGTCATCTGATATGCAATATCTCACATTAGCTACTCAGCTAACAATGTTGGAACCTCTGAAACCAAAACCAAAAAATAAAAAAATGAGGTGTTCTTTAGAAGCCAACTTTAAAACATTTAAAAATTATTTAAAAATCCTTTTGTTTTTATGCACTTAAGTTTATAGGCCGTGCTTATGTCACACAATTTCCACTGCATATCATCATATTTAAAGTACTCTCATGGCACTGTTTTTTCTTTGCCTGGAATTTCATGGGATTCAGTAACATTCATTTAAAATATTTTATTTGTTACTTGGTGGTACATACTGTGGAAAAGTTAAAATTCTAAAATTAAAGTTTATTGTTTTACAGAATTTTCTGTAAAAACTTTTCCTTAAAGTTTCTTTTTCTGCAAAAAATTAAACTTCTCTTCATTCTGTAATGCTTTTGAAATAGAAATTCTATAGAAAGCTAGAGGATGAATATACAAAAAATTTCTAAACAGTGTTTTCTTCTCCAGCTGCTTCTGTAATGTTCTGATTTTTAAACAATTTGGAATAAAATCCAAGTACCAATCCAACCTCAGTTGAGAGATGGAGTTCCATTTTATTGTTTCCCAGCAGAGGAACTGTTATGAATATGTCTTTGCATCTGTGAATAATCCAGCACGTGTGGAAGAACCATTACTGGCAGTCATTACAGGGCCTTCTGCCTTAATATTTGTCCAGGGCACCATCCGCACGATGCATTTCAGTTTTGTTCCAGCAGCCCTTGCTGGGGTCCCCTCCCAGCTGGGACTTCAGTGACATGAGTTTGGACTTACTGATCTCTGTTGCTATCACTGTAATGTTGTGCCACAGCAAGGTTTCTCGGTCAAGAAGTTTTGATGTAAAAATGGAACCATTTCCAGAATCAATGTTGAATATTCTGTCCATATCTGTATGTCGATCAACAGAATACCTGAAAATGCAGAGTAGAATTTAGAAAGGTTTCCTTGTATTTGCTATTGTCACATCCTGACACTATCCTGAATATCTGTGACTTGATTTTTTTTTCCTCCTGGGGTCACATATTTGAGTATCTCTTAACATTAGATGATGTAACTTAGAGAAAATAAGTTCTATGCAACCATGGTCTTAATGATAAACCCAGCAGACAGTTGTGTCATTTTGAGTATCAACCACAAAATTTCTTCTTTCAATATCAAATGTAGATAGTAATTGTTACATTTTAACTCAACTTTTTAGAACCTTAGCACTTTGGGTGTGCATGTGCACATTTAATTAGGGCTCACTGTTTTTCTTTTATCCATTTTATCTTTTAAATTGCTATGTTGAAGGAAGAAAAAGATGGCTAGTGCCTATGAAGTTAATGAGGCAGGTGAGGGAGAGAGATGAGTTGGGGTAGAAATCCAAGGGTGGGCTGGCCCTGGTAAGGAGCTAGGGTTTATTCTAAGCATGATGTGGATCTACTGATGACTTTAAGTAGTGGCATGATGTCATTACGGTTTACAAAGATCATTGATTGAATGAGGAAAGTTGCTGGGTGGTAAAGTCATGAACGGATGAGAAAGGAGGAATGAACAGGATTATGGAAAGATCCTAAGTTCCAGGAATGATTTGTTGAGACTGTGGTGCTTGATGAAGTGTAGGTAGTGATACCTAGTGTGAAGGTCAAGGCAGAGCCCTGAATGGACCATCTAGATTTCAGATTCAAGTGTCTGAGATGAGAATGTGCAGTTGAGGGAGAGAAGCAGAAAGGACAGAATCACTTGTAGGCTACAAGGAGAATGGCGAAGCTCAGGACCCAGAACAGTGGGTGTATAGAACAAAGTGTCAGATGTCTTGAAAAGGAGAATTTGGAGAATTCAAGGAAAACCAAGAGGCCAAAATAGGTTAGGGTCTTCAAACTAAAATTGAAAGATTTTGAGAAATGTTGTCTTCTTTATTACTAATTTTGGAATAGTTATAGAAGGGGGAAAATATGTGTACACTGTTTTATAGGGGAGCAATAAAAAGAAAACTCAGAAGAAAATTGACATGTTTAGGTCATTAGGAATAAAACATTTGCCCATTTCACCTATATTCTCACAAATTTATATATGTCTACTCAATTGAGTAGAAATACAATTTAAATAAATCACCTAATTATTCATATACATGTGAAATTATTGTGAATACTCTTAGAAAAATAAACTTGCAATAAGCATGTCTGAGGGTCTATTTCAATTAATTATTTTGCTTTAAAATAGAACTAGTGAATTACAATAAATAGCAAATTTTGTCTTAAATAACAACCATTTAACTAAAATGGATAACTAAAATAGATCTAACTAAAATAGATAACCATTATCATAGGCTATTTAAATCTTATTTTAAAGGGAATTGATGAAACTAATAAAGGATCTCTACCTAACTATCTATCTATCTATATACACATACATGCACACATATATGTAAAATTGGTACAATCTTAGTTTCAGTTTATATAAACCTGATGTCTTATTATCAAAAGGGTTGACACAGATGAATAGCAACTGTTTTTGCCACTTATACCAAGAGTCCACATTTATTAAGAACTTAGGCATTAAAATTGCTTAGTCACCTTTCTTCATTATTAATTTCAGAATGATAAATATTTACAGCACAGGATTACCAAATATATCAGTGTTCATAGGCTTTGTAAGAAATTTAGTAATTATGTACAAAAGTATTTAACTCTCATGAAAAATGTCAAGCTTAAGACATGTTGCTTATTGGTTTTAAAAGCTTGTATATAGCAGCAATATTTCCTTGTTCTTTGCCTCTCTTTCCTGTTGTAGTTTTAAGTTTTATGTGTAATCATATCTTCTCATTAAGACTTGAGGTAAGGGCATGGGGTGAAAAAGTTTTCGTTGAAGTTAGCTTTTAATTTCTAAGAGAAGTAAATATTTATAAAATACCAAATTTTCATATATATTTTTTCTTGAAGCAGGAGATCACATTGTTTTGGAATGTTGCTTGCAACAAGGTCTCATCTATTTTTTGCTTTTGTTTCCAAAGTATTTTAAATTTTTCTCAAGGATATTTACCTTCCAGTCATATTAACTTTAATCACAACTGATAAGGAAGAAGATAATAAATTCCTTTATGATTATAGCAGATCATTCTGTTAGGTAGGTAGCTCTTTTTCCTCTAAAACTTTATTGTATTCTTTGCTTCAGTAATCTGTCTTCTAATGGAGCTTCAGATGTGTGGGTAAAGAAAGGAAGTGTGTTTGCATGTATATTTTTCATAATAAGTATTTATAGTGATATTTTACAAACTGTTATATGGAAATTCAAAGGTCATTTGTGAGAATGCCACTGGAAGAAAAGTAATTTATGTGATTAAAGAATTAAAGATTTGTGCTGCATAATGATAAATCAATGCTTGAGAGAATTCCTTAGTATTAGTTGTGCACCTAACATATCTTGTATCTAGTTCAAAAATTATGTCTTGAGTAACCAAAAACTGCATGGAAGTACTTTCTTAATATAAGTCAATTTTACTGTAGAAAAGGAATCCCTGAAATATGTGTAGAATGTAGCAATGCGTATTGCTATCTTCATACCTAGTTCTAGATGCAAGATCAAAATGTAGTGATAGAAAGCTGTCAGGAAAAAAGCTTTACAATTAGCTGACAACCAAGCCAGTCTGACATGCTATTTCCTTTATTAAAACGTGAAGTAATTCAATGGGTTAAAATGGCACTTGGTGTGAAAAGTAAAATAGATATAAAAATTCATATTAAATTCCCAGAAGACATTATCTCTTTCAATTAAAAACATATCGACTATCACAGAGGTAATCAAAGTTCACATTTGTAAACTTTCAGCCTTAACACCTTCAAGTTGGTCTTTTTTAAATTAAAAACTCTATTATTATTTAAATTGGTCTTGCCATTGACATGCGAAGATAATTTCCCTCACATATTTCGAACTCTAAGTGAAATTGAGATATAACATAAAATTATTTGTGCTATACAAGCCAAGACCATCATTTATTTTCCTCCTTAATAATATTAAATGAGCATGGAGGAAGATGGTCCAAGCAGCCAGGTGTGCCTATGCTGGCTTGCCACCTTCCAATTAAGAATGTCTACACGTAGTCTAAGTAGATGAGAATACAACAGTCTACTTCTCTGGTGATTTAGGATTAGTTTCTGAGTGATCCAGGCTTTTTTTGTGTTTTAGAAGTGGGACTTGCCATTAAACAAAGAGCTCAACTAACCACCTTGCAACCTCAAGTTCTTGTATCTGCAATAATATTCATATGCACAACCTTTTGGAACCTTTTAAAAAGTGGGTTTGGATTGAGTCATGCGTCAACTTAACTCTCTAGTGGGTTCTTACTTCAAGCAGAAGTACCGGCACCTGGATGGACCTGCCTCTCGCCAAGCTGCCTGATTGCCTCCCGCCTTCACGCCCCACTGAAGACACACTCTTCACTGTCTGGGTCTCCTGCTACTCCTTCCACACCCCAAGCAAGCTCTGAATTCCGACCTAACCCCACCTCTTAGAATGTTCTTTTCCCAGATATCAGCATCATTCATCCTTTTGTTTCATTCAAATCTTTATGAAAACGATTTCCTGACAAAGCTACTGACTATATTATCTAAAATTCAGATAAAGGGTATTTCCGTACTCTGTTTCTATACTTCTTTGTTTTACTGCTTACAGTTTATTTCACCCGGCATATTACTTATTCACTTTTCTGCTTGTCTCTCTCTTCCCCAAAAAGAATGTAAACTCCATGAGATCAGGATTGGTGTAGTTCTCTGCTGCAGCTCTAATGCCTCGGACATTCCTGGCACTTGATCACAATATATTTGTGGATAATATATTTTTGTGGTTTCTCAACCTAACTTTCTTTCTATTGAATAATTTACATAGTAATATTCTCTAGCTTAGCACTTTTTTCCTCTCATCGACTAAGCTATGGGTAAAGCCTGGAAATTGGTTGATTTCCTGATAAGATTCTAGCATCTGAAGTATCCATGGTCCCAAGAGGAATGAGGTTTTTTGCAAACTAAATTATAACTAAGGTATAAAAAATGTACAGGGAACATAGAGCTTGCTTCAAAGTATAAATTGGATTCTACTCTACTAATTTTTTCTAGGATTACACACATCTATCTTTCTATCTACCTACCTACTTACCTATCTATCTATTGATCAATTGATCATAACTCTTTTTTTCTTTTTTAATTTTTAAAATTTTTTTATAACAGTTTATTTTTACATCATTTTGTACATTTTTTTACATCTCAATTGTAATCCCCGCGGGTTTCCCATCACCAAGTCACCCGTGTGCCATCACCATAATCCTGTGCACTTCCTTCCCCTGTCACATCATAACTCCTTTTATCAGATTTGCAAAAGAATCTTGTCTCTAGTGTTACATGATAGGTTCTTTGAAAACTAGGCTGTCAAGCCCAGTGCCTTGTTAAAGCTCACAATGCTTAAATCTTCAACTAAAAACATACAAAAATTCCCAGTCCATTCAGTTGCATTACCTTATGCCATTGCTATGTAAGCAGTAAATTCCTTAGAGCTCATTTATGTTTTTTTCCTCCACTTTGTGTCTTTTAGGTTGTTGTCAAACTAATACTGATGTTGAACAAGGATAGTGAATGTGCTATTTAAAGTCATTTTTAAAGAAAACACAACTCTGTAATTGGGGGGAAGAGGATTCATCTTTTCAACTTGCAGGCAGATATCTGAATGTAAATTGACTGAAAGTTGTGAAAGAAACGTGTGGCAGAGTATGCTTACTTGACAGGATTCCTGGCGGCATCTGGGTCTTGGGCTGTGACGGAGCCTATGGTTGTGTTTATCTGAGCGTCTTCTCTTATTTGTAGGACGTAGGCCAGTTTGCTGAAGATGGGGGGCTCATCGACATCCTCCACCATGATTCTCACTGTGGCAGAATCTTTGAATGGCCCCAGGTAGAGAAAACGGGGTTCAATGTGAGGGTTGGAGGCTTCTACTTTGAGGGTGTATACTTTCTTCTTTTCAAAATCTAGGAGCTTAAGGGAGGAGAAAGGAGCGATGAATTTAAAGCAGCTAAAGCATAGAAAGCCAAGATATGAACTACTTTTCGTGTAAATCCCCATGGGTGAACGTGACCGTATTGATAGTGTGATGTTGGACAAAGGCAGGGAGTTCGGATGGCACATGATCTTGCTAAAGTTTGGGCTCAAACCAAGCCTGCTGTTGCTTTCAAAATGGGAGTGGACTCTAAGGTTAAATGGGCAGGAAAGAACATGAAAGTCAGGTTCTGTTCCAGACCCCTTAACAGTAAATCCTTACATTTGACTAGAAAGGATTATGCCAGGGGGGAGATGGCAAATATGTAGTCAATTATTCTCTACTAGCTTTTGTCACATCTGGGTTTTTTTTTTTAAATAAAGATTTATTTATTTGTGCATACAGAACTGGGGTACAGGCCCGAGGCTCAGGGGCGGCGAGAGGCTTCACTAGAGACAGAGTGGGGAGCAGAACAGGCAGTTCTACGAAGTACACTGCTGAGGGGAGCAGCGGGCGGGTCAGGAGAGGTCTGCCGCGCCATGTGGTCACCTCCGGGGCAGGTGGGAATCGAACTCATGCGGAAGTGGCTTTAGCTTCTCAGGGCTGCACTTTAGCCCACTGCGCCACCAGGGAGGGCCCACATCTGGTTTTAATTGAGCACTAAATGTTTAAAATTTGCCTATATTTGGGTTCCCCCTTGGACCATTAAGCTAAGGTAGAAATCTACACTTTATAGATCCTCCCTTAGCCCACTAACAATTCCACTGCTGAGTGGGAATTGAGAACCACAACTTGCATTATGGTCTTTTCTTCCTCATTCAGGTAAAGCAGCTTGAAAAACTATATTTCTTTTCTTGTGGGATGATAAAATATTCCAAATGATCTGATAAGGTCATTGGGCTAGTGACTTGCCAAAGAAAGTAATGATCATTTTTATCAGCGCTTTTTAGGAAAAGTACCTCTGCTTCTGGAGCCAGAGTGAACCTAAAAGCTCTTCGCTGACTTTTAGTTTTGGATGATAATATGACAAGACTCACTCGAAGCACAATTAATCAAGATGTTAGTGAATGTGATTTAGTCGGCTAGGCTAGATTTCAGTTTGAATCTGATAAGGCACCAAGAAAATTAAAAAGGTTAATGCACAGTAATGGGTTTCCTAATTGTGTTATCATATAAAACACTGGTCTGAGTGTCACTTAAACATGCTTTATTGTGCTTCCAGAGATTAAGACATGCAACCCAAGCCTTAAAAGGAAAAAGATTTCTTGTCATTTACATCCCTTATGTTTATATTTATCAGCAACATAACAGTGTCTCAAAGACAAAGGAAATACAACACACATGATAAAAATGAGATCGTTAAAAAATACAACCCTATCTAGTGGTTCAGTGGGTTAAAGCAGAGCACTATGAAGCCACTACCACATGAATTCGATCCCTGGCCAGGGGAGTGACCCAGATGGTGTGTCAGACCTCTCCTGATCTGCCTGCTGCTCCCCTCAGCAGTGTACTTTGTCAATCTGCCTGTTCTGATCCCCACTCTGTCTCTGGTGAAGCCTCTCACCCCACTCCCACTTGTGGCCTGTACCCCTTTCTTTTGGTGTGCATAAATTAGCAAATCCTTAACAAATTACAATCAAAATTGATATTATATTTAGCTTTGAAGTACCATGTTTGGTTTTTCATTTTTGCCACACTATTGTGTCCTGCTCTGTGGTGCTAGGTAATATGGGGAAGGGAGTCAGTGAAACATGTAGGGGAAAACAGGAATTCAGAATATCAAGAAGGCATTATTACTGTATTCCAGAAGGTAGCTAAAGACATCACAGGAAATTTGTATTATTGAATTTACTTTCATGGTCTTCCTATATTTTTTAGTTCAGGTCATCTGCTTGCATTGTTCTTTTCCTTCAAAATGTGTATCAGGATTTGCTGTTAGGTACATTTCTTTATTTGCTTCCATGTGTCTTTCCCCCCTAAGCACACTGGGGGTTTATCAAAGCAGAATTAGTCTATTGAATATAAAATTGTATCCCGATCAAACACTGTCTGGCACTTTTTATATTTATTGTTCATTTACATTACTTATTTTATGTGCTCTTATGTATAGCATTATATTTTCTATTTTCTTAGGAAGTTCTTAATAAACCTTTACTGAAAATACAGAATTAGTGAATGCATAAGATTTATTTAGGACCCCTGGTAGCCAACCAAAGAGATCTCAGTGTAATTAGGCTTAATGTTTTAAAAAATAATTTGTACAGGCCCTCCCTGGTGGCGCAGCGGGTTAAAGCACAGCACTGAGAAGCTTAAGCCACTTCAGCATGAGTTCGATTCCCGCCTGCCCAGGAGGTGACCACATGGCGTGGCAGACCTCTCCTGACCCGCCCGCTGCTCCCCTCAGCAGTGGACTTCATCAATCTGCCTGTTCTGCTCCCCGCTCTGTCTCTGGTGAATCCTCTCACCCGCCGCATCTCTGGCCTGTACCCCAATTCTATATGAATAAATAAATAAAAAAATAATTTGTACAAAAAGAGTCTAGAGGAATGTCCACAGGAGATGTAATTGCCCCTTGCGAGTCAGAGGAGAGAAAATGAGTTCATTTGTACAGCATTTCACAAGTGGCGTTACCTTTTTGACAGTTATAATTCCTTCCTGGGTTTCCTGGTCGGTGATGACATCAAACATGTCCAGCCCCTCTCCCTCTGTGATGCTGTACTCAATTTCAGCATTTTCTCCCACATCTGCATCGCTGGCTTTGATCCTGCCAATGGGTGTGCCCGGTGGAGAAGATTCAGGGGTTTTGAATTGGTAGGTACCTATTATTCGCCAGACAGAGATAAATCCCATTCTGAGTGTACTCCAGCACCATAAACACAGACCCAGTTTCCACCAGTTCTTTGAGACAGTGCCATGCATATTGGCAGATGTGTGCTTTCCTTAAAATAATGAATTATGCCCTATTCTCCTTAAGTCTTCACTTTTATGATTGTTAAGAATGTTTCTTTATTTCATGACCTGCCTCTTTTCAAATGAAGAATACTTTTCTTCTCTTGTAAATAGGATTCAGAGTTTATGGTGAGACTGTAAGAGACTGAGGAGGAGGAAACGGGAGGTTTCAGAGCTTGCTGTTAACGTAATCTAACATAGAATAGAAAAGAAGGTAACCTGAGCTGTGACTTTCAGTCAATTACTATGTATCTTAAAAATAGAGTTCTTTCTGTCATTGCTAATAATAACTGAAGGTGAAAACAAATTACAGCAATTTGGAGACTGTTTCTAAGTAGGTATTTTTCTCTCATCCGTAGTCTAGTTTCAGGTAGGGATATAAGTAAATCCATTGAGAGGTAAAGCTCTTATTTTTCTTTTCTTTTTATAGTATTTTCCCTATGCATAGTTTCTTCCTCTTCTTGTATCTGTATTACTAATTAGTATATTTCCTACATATATTCTTCTCTTCTGTCTTCATGTTCCAAAGTTGCTATAAGACAACTACGTGTGAGTTTCAATTTAGATATGCCAGAGCAGCATGCACATAGGATGAAGAAAATAAGCTAATAAAAATGAAACCATTGTAGTCTCATACAATGTGTTTTCCTGACCATCCATGCAGTTGTTCTGTAGACAGCACTAAAGTATATGGGTTCAGTAGTATTAATCCACTAGGTCTTGGGCTCATCCTTGAAGTGATGGAACATGCAAGACTTCCTGTAGAGATGCTTTTCTAATGCACTTGATTGTAATGACCGCAGGCTAGTCTAGGACAGCAGATATGTAAGGCCTTGTTGGTAGCAAGGCTCTAGGAGATCTTTTGCTGTCCTTCCCCAGGGCATGCCCATGCTGAAAAGAGCCATGTGCTAGTGATCCTGATATTTTCATCTCAACTTTCTGTGGGAGAAATTTTAGGCCTATAACACCTTCCTTCTATGCATAGAATCAAACATCAGTTAGGTCTTCTGGTTTTGAATTAAGCTGGGATTAAATACTTGAAAAATGAAGGGAAAAAAATCCTATTTTCTGTTGTACTGTGTATATAAAAGATGCCTCTATTAGTTAACTAGCTTTTGAAAAATATTTAATGAGTAGTATTTTTATTTAATGATGGACAACTATTTTCTCCTGGTGGGAAGAATTGAGGAAATATTTTTAGGAGATTATGGCTAGAAAGGCATTTTATTTCTTTAAGAAAAATTACATCAAAACCCAGTATCCACCTGAGTTACTCTCTGTGAAAGAGTCTAGCTTGACATAAAATTTGCATTTGAGAATGTTGTTTTTCCTTTTTCTCTCCTATCTAATCATGAGAGTTAATGATTTTGGGGATGACTTTTGATATCTTAATTAACCATAATGTAAAAAACTATTTATGATTTCAAACGAATTAAATACATAGTTATTTCTAGTCATATTTTTAGAAACAATAAAAGGATAAATCCTCGCCTTACAAAGCTTTGTGAGGATTTAAAGAGATTATATGCCTGATTAAATTCACAAAACATAAAGTCACATTTCCCTAACAAATAGAAGCATGGTTGTATACATTTGTCCTGCACAAGCAAATTTATGTCTGCGGTAGACCTTAATAAGGAGAAAGAAACCAATGGCCTTGCCTTAGCAACAGCTGCATCAGAAATCGCTCAGCTAATTACCAACTCAGAACATCAGTGTTCACATTCATGACCTGCAAGCATTGCCATTTCATTTTTAATAAAATGCTGTTTCTTACCAAGTTCAATAATTTTGATAATAACAACACTCATGGAAAACATTCTTAAAGTTAGAGATTTATGAAGCACACTAAAAAAAAAAATCTCATTCAATTAAATGTTCCTACTCTGGGGGAAGCGGGGAGGATTGTCGTTGACGTCAGTCAATGTGATGTTCACTGTGGTGGTCCCGGATAATCCCCCCATCTGACCGCCCATATCCTTGGCTTGAATCACCACTTGGTACTGCTCCCTGTTTTCTCGATCCATATTGAGTAAAGCAGTCTTGATGATACCTATGGTAAGAAATTCAGAAGTGGAAAGAGATGTATGAAAAATGCCTTATGGATCCATTTGTTTATGCAAAAAACAGAGGTTGTCACTCATAATATGCAAAACACTGTGCAGAAGTCACAAAGATGAATAATACAGCCATTCTACATAAGGAAATTACAACCATATGAGGTAGGTACATTTAAATAAAGCACCTACAAGGTGAATAAAATACCAAGGAGAATAAAAAATAAGGACAAGTCAAGTCCTACAGTGGTGTAGACTGTAAGTAATGTAAATAGTGTCATGGGATGATACAGCAAAATGTAATTTGGTATGCAGTAGAATGTTATATATACTACGGTAGCTGCCAGAGAAAAGACATTTAAGTGGACTGTGAGGAAGTTGCTTACCAGGTCAGACACTTGAACTGACTCTTGAGTTTCACTTTACTGAATCAGGGGCTGCTCATCAAAAATATCCATAATGAATAGCCTGAGGATTTACTAAGCTAAGGATTTACAAAACTAGGATCTTAATAAAACCGAGCATCAGTTGTCTTATGATTATCATTTTGTATGATCCTAGAAAATTTAAGTTTTCTAAAGCTAATGTGAACATCCACTCAACTGGTCCCAACAGTGACCAATGTTATTATCTCTCCTGTTAGGTAGTTAGAAAATAATTAGTTAAAAGAACTTCCAAAAGTTTACTTAATCTCTGTGTAGGGTTTATACTTAAATTAACAACATTCTTTCAGAATTCACTGGAGAGGCTTTAGAGCTTTCTCTGTAGCACATTCCAGTGCTTAACAGCTAATGAAGCTGAAAATATCTTTTTTTATTTTTAACAAGAATACCTCAGACAACAGGTCAATTTTCTTCCCATAGTCCCGACTTCAGCGAAAGTGCCGCTTTCTGTTCTCCAAATAGCACTTCTCTATTTAAATAGAGGAGATCACCTTAGCCTTTTGTCTTTAAGTTGGATAATTCTAAATTTCTCATCCTCATTGTTTTTCAACTCAACATTTTCTTTGTCCTTGGGATTCTTTCCAAGTTCACTGCTCCTTAACACATCGATTTCAACTGGATATAGCAACCTGGAAAGGTTTTGATTGCTACCAACAATAATGGATACTTGAAAATTATATGAAAGGAACTCAACTCTTATTATGACAGCAAAAATGTGTATACAGTTTCCAAATGATGTTTTCTAAAAAGTCATTCACCTTAAGTTTGTAGTAAGCAGTTCTGTAGAGAAAGCACAGAAAAAGGAGATATGGAGAAAAGGATCCCAGGAAGCCAATTCACTATTTGGGCTGTACCAGTTAGGGCAGGTTAGACAATGTGTTAACAAAAAATGCAAAATCTTGGTGGCTTAACATAAGTAAAGTTTATTTTTACTTCCCGTGCTGAGCGAGTCAGCTGGAAGCTCAGCTTGACTTAGACGTACAGGTTGGAGACTCATCTCAACTTTGGTTTCCATCCATGATCACTATGGCAAGAGGAATGGAAGTTGGAGATGATCGTGCAGCAGGTCTGGCAGTCCTGCCTAGAAGTGCTTAGCATCACACCACCTTTTGTTTGCCCAAATAAATCATGTAGCGATATCTACATTTAGAAGAGGGTTGAGAGATGTAATTCTACCAAATAACTGGAAAAAGATATCACAGTAGCCCATAAACAGTCTTACTGGCTCTTAGAAAGGGTCGGTCATTAAACTTCACCCCAAACTGGAAGAGAAAATAAGACAATGTACAGATTTTCTTAATCTCTCCTATACGAACAAGATGGCCAAAGATTCGTCGCCAGATTTCTTGAATGGTCTGGATGTCATGCTTACAAATATACCACTGGTATTTGGCAGGTGAATCTAAAAATGCCATCCTGCTGTTGTTTTTATTAAAAAACATGCTAAATCATCTGAGATTAAAACTATAGATGGTAGGAAGGAAGCTTACAAAGGAAATCCTAACCTGTTTCTGATTCAACTGAAAAGTAGGGCTGCCCCTGCAGGATACTATAGACGACTTTGGCACTGTTCCCATACGTGGGGTCATCGGCATCAGTGGCAGTGACTTGGACAACAAATGTGCCTGTAAAGACACAAACATGAATTGAAAATCAATTAAGGGTTTATCAGGCATCCTCGATACACACCCTAAAGAAAAGCACAATTTTACTTCTATAGAACACTGTTGTGGCAAGGGAGCAGAGGACTTGAGTAGGATTCTGGGAATCCAAGTGGCCTTGGAACGTGACCAGCATTTACAGACAGTGGAAGGTTTGGGTCAAAGAGAAGGTGGGAATGATGATGACTTTGGGTGGAACTGATTTCAACCCATCTCCAAAAATGAGATTTGATGGGATTCTTGTTGCACCGAGTCCTTCGAGCTCTCCAGGCCTAAGTCAGTCAGCATCTTGCATTACTTTGTCCACAGGGGTTGTCCATTTAGGGGGCCCCTCATGATTTTGCTGGAAATTTTGAACATGAGAAGTTTCTTCTCCTGCTCTGTAATGAGCTCATGTGGAACCTGCGGATATGGTAGCTATTTTGTGACTGTGGAGATGTTAGCCTGAGGGCAAACTGAATAGGATAGAAAATTACAGAGAAATAGCTGAATCCACATCAAACCATGTCCAAAGACCTCTTATGTAATGTGACTGCTAAATGCTTTTATTGTTTGAACTGGTTTGAATTGGCTTTTCTGTTACTTGCAAATAAAAGCATTCTAAACAATACATCTATTTGATTAATTACAAGAGGTTGAAAGATCTGGAACCTTAAACAGGGTAGTTTGGGCTTGAAAAAAGAGTTAATTCCAGCATTCACATCTGGAATCTGTAATTCCAAGTGATGATTATAATTAAATGACATTTTAGATTAGCATTCTTACTGTAGGGATCACAGTCATTTAGTAACTTTCAAAGTATCTTTAACTTCCATGCAAATTGCAATGACTATCCCTACGTGTATGCTTCCCCAGAGAGAGGGAAGGATTTTCAAGGAGTCTTTAACTTCTAAAAAGTGAGACCCTCTGACTAAGACCATTTTATGACTGATTTGATATTCATATCAGATGAACAATATGTGTCCGTTAGAGTTCTGTCCATGAAAAAGACCCAGAAGTTACATTTACAGAATATTAGAATGTTTATCTTATTTTGTATTATCTAACCAATTCCATTTATTGAACAAATATATTGCATTGTGTTAGAACTGGATGCTCTGGTTATAGCGTGCTGATGTATGAAACAAAACACCCATCCTTATACTCTGTCAAGGGAGCTGGGGAGAATGAGAGTATCCTGTGATTTTCGAGTGAGGACAAATAGAAGTCAACTTACACCCACATGCTTATCTGACATGAATATGACATTTGAATGTTTTAAAAATGGGATTATGTCTTGAATACCTATTAGTTGCCAGATACTGTACTGAGGGCGATGTGTCTGTATTCTCATCCTATCCTCATATGAACTCTTAGGTGTTGCATCTGTAACTTATTTTTTATAGATATGGAACTAGTTGGATCAGAAACACCAAGTCTGCTTCTTAATGGAGATAATTTCAAACTTGGGTCTTTTTGGTACACACTTTACCTTTACAATTGGTAGTAGAATTGTGCACAATATATTGATTGGCTATATTAATGTTATTTCTACCAATTAATAAAGTATCCCTTAGATAGCATCTACATATGGTTTATGAATTTTAAAAAACTTTTTCTTTGAGTCTCTTCCCTACATGCATAGTTAACTTAAAACAACTGTCACTTACCCCACCATTTATAACACCTTACCATTGTCCCACACTATGCAATTTCTTCAAGATACCTTTAGTCAGGCCCTCCCTTGTGATGCAGTGGGTTAAAGCACAGCATAATGAAGCTATCACAGCCACTGTAGAACAAGTTCGATCCCCAGCAGGGGCGGGGTGTGGCCCACAAGGCGCGGCAGACCTCCCCTGACCTGCCCGCTGTTCCCTTTAGCAGTGTACTTCAGTCAATCTGCCTGTTCTGCTCCCCACTCTGTCTCTGGTGAATCCTCTCACCCCCCCCACACCGCACCTCTGACCTGTACCCCAGTTCTGTATGTATAAATAAGTAAATCTTTTAAAAAAAGTTTATATATAGACGTGTTAATGTATGATAATGATGCATTTGAGTAACTGTCTGTATGCAAATTAGAAAATGCCCCCTCTTCCTCACATCACATTACTGCCAGTTACCCCCACATACTTATAATACATATTTAATTCTATAATGGCTTCCAAGGTGAGTGACACCTCCTGTGGTTATGTAGGGAGAGTTCGCACATCTGGCTACTATTGCCTAGGGTGTTACTGATGACAGAGAATTTTTCATTATTTTTTCCTGTCTTTTACCACTTGGAAAAATTTTTTTTTTCTAATGAAATTTCCCTTTAAAAGAATTTCAACCATTCTCTTTGCTTTGTAATTTTCCTAACAAAACAAAGTATCTTCGAGCAACATACTCATATGAAAAATATAGAAGTCTCACAGATATTTCTATGGATTAGGTATTTTTCAAGTCTTAGTACTGTGAACTGAAATTTGACTGATGGAATTACAGAAAAAGTGTTAGATTATGTAACTTAACCCTTTTAAAATTTATCAGACTGTAAATGAAAATAGCCTTTGACATAGTTTTAAATTTGTCACTGATGCATTTTAATGTGGCTAAGAGTGAAGACTGTAGTTGTTTTCTTTCTTAAAAAATAAAAAAGATTTATTTATTTACTTATGTATATAAGAACTAAGGTACAGGCCAGAGGTGGGAAATGTGTGAGAGGATCCACCAGAGACAGAGTGGGGAGCAGAACAGGCAGATCGACTGAAATACACTGCTGAGGGGAGCAGTGGATGAGACAGGAGAGGTCTGACACGCCATGTGGGTCAGCTCCCTGGCTAGGATAGAACTCGTGCTGCAGTGGCTGCAGATAGCTTCATAGTGCTGCACTTTAACCCTGCACCACCAGGGAGGGCCTGGAGTTGTTCTCTTAACTGAAATTGTATTTACATTCTCTCAATCTAAACAAATTAAATGTATACACATTACCTTTAAAATTGGGAGGAGAGTTGTGCATGAAATATAATTTACCATATTAATATTAGGAAAGTCCTTTAATTTCCACCAGTTAGTAAAGAACTTACCCTGCATATTATCTACATATTTTTTAAATGAATTAAATAAAAAGGTTTTCTTTAGGTCTCGTTCCCAAATATGCAGTTACTTAAATCGATTGTCATTACTCAGGATTCTGGACAGTAAATTCAGTCCATTGGGTGATTCTTTCCCGAGCCCAATACCAATGTGAGCCAAGAGAAATATGGAGGACTGCTACCGTTCTGGTAGGGAAACAGGAGTTAGTGGAGAAGTACCCGAAATGGTCTCCTTCCTTCCTCCACTCTCCCTTGCCTGCTTTCACACCTTCACAGTATTTTTACTTTCTTAAAAGTACTAAGATTTGAGCAGTATTAGGAGATAAAGGCGCACTTCCCAAAAGGTCATAAATGGATTGTTTGAAATAGGATACTTTTAGAATCCTGCATCTAAATCCATTCAATTCTGTATGTGTCAGTCATAGGACATGTAATTGATGCAGCAGGGGAGATGCTGTGGTGAAACCACACCTCACTCACCCACTTCAGACATTTCGGGAACCGTGGCTGTGTAAACCTCCTTGGTGAATATTGGTTCGTTGTCGTTGATGTCATGAATCTTGATGATGAATTCAGACTCAGGCTCCACGGGTCTCCCTGTCCTTCTGTTTATAGCTTGAGCTCGGAGAATGTAGACGGGTTTTTCTTCCCTGTCCAGTCTCTTGGTGGCCTGTATGTCCCCTGTGTTTTCATTGATAATGAAGAGATCTCCTGCTCCATCTCCTGAAAGGATATATTTAAGTGATCCATCTCCTCTATCCTGGTCTGAATGTAACTAGTATAGAAAAAAAAAATTAAAGAAAATAAAAGTCAAGCATGTGATCCTAAACTGGTTTTGTTTTTATGATGCACGCTGTGCTAACTTTCATTCACTCTTCTAAGGGATGCAGGTATTTTTCCTTTAAGTATCTACTTAAATTCTCACTAGTAAATGCCACTCATTAATGAACACTTATAATCACAAACAATTTCAGAACTGGAGCAGAGCTTGGAGAAAATCCAGGAATCCTTCTTTTGAAGAAAGGAAAATGAAAGGTCAGAGCAATAGCAAGATGCCCAAGGGTAAATTAACCTGGATGGAGTAAAATTATTGTCATCATTTTCCTATTTTCACTATAGTTTTCAGGTTCTCTACATTCTCTTCCTCACCTTTATGTGAGACATTAAGACATACTAGAGATGTAATATATTATGTAGAAAAGGATTTTGGCTTTTGAATCAGAACACCTGGGTACAACCTGCCTTCACACTCTACCTTCACGGGGAATCATCTCAGAGAAGTTAGCCAGCGTCCATGAGTCCATTATGCTGGCGTTTAGTCTTTTTTTTTTTTTTTTTGTTAGAATATGTGATGCTTATTAACTTATTTACAATTCAATTCGATGCATTTGAGAAACACCTTAAGTGTGCCCATAAAGCCCTCTGGCTAGATAATTTACCAGGTCACTTGGAGAAGAACTTTAAGCGTCACATTTTTATCTACTATATAGACCAGGCTCTGCTAACAAAAGCCGGCCTAAAATCAGAGTGCTTTCAGAAGTCACCTGTGGAGACTTTCATTTTATGACACAAGCCGCAAGTCACCGGGAGTTCAGGTCAGTGTTCAGTGTGAGTTTATGGCAGGCCGCGCTTGCGCGCGGAGGATGGGTCACCAAGGCTGGTTGTTCCCGGGTGGACACTGCCCGCCTTTCGGCATCCAGGGCAATGGGACTGAATCTCTGAGCTTTATCTCTATTTATTTTGTGTCCTGTAGCAAGGTGTGTCTTCCCGAAACCAGAACCGCCAAGATTGCTCATAGAGTGTCCCCTTTTGTGTAACGCTGGGAGAGCGGAAATGAACACGAAAGCCAAGCAGCCGTAAAGTGAGGTTGTTCAGGACCTGCCCAGGAGGCGCTAGCGTGAGACCTGAGCGACCGCCCGTGGCCTGCAGGGATGGCGAAAAGCAAGCCTTTCATCTTGAAAGACATTTAGGCTTGGGGCGGTTGGCAGGCTGTTTTGTGCGCCACCACGAATTGTAGGATAGAAGAATGTGTGAGGCCAGGCAGCCAAACCTTCCGCCGTGTCCAGCACATTGGCCCCCAGTAGATGACAAACTTTGACCTATGTGTGGGGAGGCCTGACCGGGTGGATTCAGAGCAGAGGGGATGTGACCCAGCCGTCTGCCCGTTCCTCCCCCGGGCCCAGCCTAACACACCTCCACCAGCACCTCGCTGCCCTGCACGGGCTCCCTGTCTTCACCATTCTGGTGAGTGAAACTACAAGGAACATTGTTTCTGCTTTTTATAGGTTGTATATTTATCCTATCATACTGCTTTTACTGTATGTTATTGCTATTTTATTTTTTATGTGGTATTTGGTGTCATTTAGTAGGTGGTTTTTTTGGGTCTCGGGATACTCAAAAATTTCCGTGTATAATACGGTAATTGCGTCATTTTATGGCATTTCAACATCATAGCAATGCTCTACTTTTGTATGAGGTAAGGGGGTGCTCTAGTTCGTTCCTTGCTTTTGAAATTAATCAAGGAGGGGCTCTGATAGGAATAACTGTGGGTGATAAGGGCCTGGGTGTTAAGTGAATTTGAAGATATCATTGAAATGGAAGAGGAGGATTTAACTTGGGAAAACTAGCCCGTGTTCTGTTATTTGGGGAATAATCCCAGATTATTTTACCAAGTTGAATTCTTGCTGTTTCTTTAGTTCTCATTTCCCACCCCAGCAAATGTTAGATGGCATCTCATAATCTTTAGATAAACTAATTTTATTCCCAGTTTTTCAAAAAGTGCTTTTAATTGAGCACTGTTTTAAACCCCAGTTAGAGGTGCCAGCTACACATCAACAAGTTACTTTTAGTGAGACGATTGTGACCTCTAGCTTACTTCCACTCCGTCTACAGAGAGTATGGGCTATGTTACAACAATCAAGACAATAATAGTATCAGGTAAACTTCTTGACTAGTACTGGGTGACTGAAAATGGACAGTTTAGGTAAAAGAAATTATAAGCCAGTAGAACGAGTTGCCCCAAGTCCTGTTTGAACAGGTGAACTAAATCATGAACAAGTGGACTAAATCATGAACAGGTGGATGAAATCACTTTGGCCTACCACACTGACCAAGGCACCATACTAGACAAATGTTTACATCTTGACTAATGATCATCTCACCAGTTTCCTGGGGGGAGAAGGTTGAGTGCCCAGAAATGCAGTTGGAAAGTGGCCCATCTGCACCACCTGGTGTTGCCCAACCCAGCCTGAGCTACCTTGCTGCTGCCAGCCATTGTGCCTCGGGGGCCTACCCTTTAAAAATCGCCTCCTAACTTCCTCCAAGGAGCCAGGCTAAATTCTCCTTCCTGGCCTGTTCCTTTATGTGTGAGTTGCTAATTAAGCCTTGTCTTGGTCAGCTATGCTCAGTGCTCTCTGTTGAATGCTCCTCCTAGAGAGCAAAGGACCTAGTCTTTTGGACAAGAGCCTACAACAGGCACATATCATGAAAATAGAATCTTAGAGCCAAGAGGGACTTTGAAAACAAAGTCCCTAAGAAAAGTGTATCCCTAGAAGAAAAGTGTCTTTCTAAGAAAAGTGTATCCCTAGAAGATCATTTGTACAAGACGGTAAGGGAAGAGTGTGATCCACTAAATGTGGGAAGTACTTCATATTCTGCCTTTTTCTTTGAGTCACCTACTGTCCATTAATATAGTCAAGGCTCAAGGGCCTACAGTTCAACACTGTACTTTTCTAACCTAGCTTTTTTGAACTTTCCTATGCAATGGTTTTATTTATTTATTTATTTATTTATTCATACAGAACTGGGGTATAGGCCAGAGATGTGGAGGGTGAGAGGATTCACCAGAGACAGAGCGGGGAGCAGAACAGGCAGATCGATGAAGTCCACTGCTGAGGGGAGCAGCGGACAGGTCAGGAGAGGTCCGCCGTTCCATGTGGTCACCTCTGGGGCAGGCGGGGATCGAACTCATGCGGAAGTGACTTTAGCTTCTTAATGCTGTGCTTTAACCCGCTGCACCACCAGGGAGGGCCTGCAATGGTTTTTGAGTGTGAATGTTTTTTGGGTGTGACCCGTATTCCCTTAGAACACTTTCCCAAGAAACACACTTTAGGAAGCATGAGCTAACTGAATCCATCACTGTAGGGTCAAGAAAACAGAGGCTCAGTTTACTTAGACTTTCCAGAATCACACAGCTCATGGACAAAATTCAGAAGATTAGGAGCTGAGCTTGAGAAGGGGCCTTATAGATGATGTGGTGTGGTCTCCTGGTTTGTAGAGATAGGAAAATGCGTCCAGTGCCACACGGCTAATGCTATTTAATAGCAGAGTTTGAGGAAGAGTATTATTCACACAATTAGTAGTCTTGAAAGCAATTTGGCAGAAATAATAGAAGATAAATGGGACAAGGGAAGGAATTGCTTAGAAGTGAGACAAATGCAATAAAAAACGTCAAACAAGAGCATTCCATGATTTGTGTAATATGATCTGCTCAGAAAACATTGAAACCATGATTACACAGGAAGAGCCACTGGGGAAAGTTTAAGTCTCCATCGTCAAATCCTAATGACCGTGGAGAGCTCTTAAAAAGCTATTTCATTAACTCATGAGTAACGAAACCTGCTTTGCTGCTTATCGCATCCTGACTCTAGGGCTGCCATTGCTAACAGCCTGGTCCACTCAGCGCACCCCGCCTGGGCCCCAAGTCAGGGCCTGTTCATTCTGTCTCACTCACCAGCTGTAAGCTCAGAGCCGACTACCCTCCCTGTGCCAGGATCCTTAGCAGCAAAGTGAGGACAATGAGAGATACAGAGCCAGATTGTTTGAAGGCCAGAGACTAACTACTACCTACAACCCTGTGTAAAATGCAGGGTAAAAGCACAATACGTGTTTCATAAAATGCAAAGCTTCTTCCAGATTTAAGATGCTGTTATTATTGGGTCTGAGAAATTTCAAGAATTTTTCCAAGTAACTTAGAGTAATTGCTTCTTTCTGCCATTTTAGCTTCCTCAGTATGCTCTTATTTTGACTTTGAAAACTTTGTTTTGGGGACTTTGGAAACCCAATTACACCCGATATCTTGGAGGTAAAATCTGTTACCAGAAGCCAGTAGGCCTCTACTGAGTGGCTATTGCTGTCTTTCCATGTGATTTGTTATATTCTGTATTCCACTAGATTATAGACTCCCCTTGGTGAGTTCCTTCCTCACTTTCAATATGTAATTGTTGCACACTTAGTAGGTGAAGACCACATCTGGTCACAAGATTTATTCAGGTGCAAGTAATCAAAAACTTATTTTTAGCTGTCAAGAGAGACCATTTTGATGACTTATAGAGCAAACACCCGAGACAGAATAAAAGGGCGATGGAGATACCAACTCTGAGTATGAGCAGGTTGGTGGTGCCCATCCTAATTGTGATTTATCAGTATTGGAAAACTAGGGCAGAAATGTATCTCTTCACTCAGGCATTGTCAGATAATAAAACAATTTAGCCTTCTCCCCCGTGAAGTGCAGCGTCTGCCTGTGACAAAGTGCACAGAGCAACAAACCTCCAGAAGCCTTTTTGTCGTCTTTCCCCACTTGCCTTCCCTCCCTTCAGCTCCCCTGGGGCCAGTTCTTTCCTCTCTTCTTGGGGAAGAGGAGGAACATAGACGTCAGTGCTAGGGAAAGCGATGGTGACAACCAGACATTAGGGGTTTATTGAGCACTTAGATTTTAATTGGATTTTTTTCTTTTGTGATGTCATTCATCATGGCCACTGTAAAAGGCAGACGTTA